TGGTTTATTTGCACCTTGTTGGAAGCAGAAGAAAGCCTCTCAAGTTTTACTGACACCAAAATATGGTCTAATGAGAGGGAACCGACTGATCTAGATTAGAAATTGTCATAATTTTTTAATGACTGGTTTTGTAGAACGGATTGTTGATCTGCCAGACCAGATCGGAAATCCAGATACACGATCTGGATCACCGTTCATTTTTTTCAAAACCTTGTAATGATTTATTTGCACCTTGTAGGAAGCAGAAGAAAGCCTCTCAAGTTTTACTAGCACCAAGATATGGTCTAATGAGAGGAAGAACGTGATAATACTTATTTAGATGGTTTTTGACAAGAAATTGGACACTATTTGTCTGTACTTCATGTATTGGATACTTATATCTACACAACACATTGTTTATTGGAAATGTATGATAAAACCATTTATTTTTATACAAAAAAGTCACAATCATTGTCAACTATTGGATGTGAAATCAGATAGGTCGTTGTGTTACTAATTGAGCGCATAGTCTGAAACAAATTTTTTCGAAGGCTGTGATACATTTTAATATGTTAGATTTCACATCCAACGGCTAAGAAAAATTGTGACCTTCTTGTACCAAGAATAAATGATCTCATAGTATACAATCCGTTGTTATTGTCACTGTTTTATATATTTTGCATTAGCTTATGGTGGTATGTATAATTAGTTGGTTGGTGAGCTTATGGTGGTATGTATAATTAGTTGGTTGGTGCGTGATTTGTTCATCTTTGTTGACAGAGGGAGAGATTTTTCAGATTAAATCATCAGAGGGAGAGAAAGATGTCAATATTCAATCAACATCTTGTGATGAGAGAGAGAGAGGGAGGGAGGGAGAGAACAATTAGTTATAGATCTAGAACTTATGATATGAACCGTCCATTTTCCTAGTCCTATTATAGATGGATTATTTTCAAGAAATTGACTTCATTGGACATATGCTATTATCTTATTAGAAAAATTTGTAATGAACAGTTGAAAATAGCTTAAGAAGACACTTTACCAAACAGGTTACTAAAACAATAATAATAATTTTAGAAGGAATTCTAGACATCTGCCAAACAGAGGAAAGAAACTCTCTCTAAGAAGCTACTTTCGCAGGAAATTCATTTATCATAAGAAAATGCTTTTCCACAAACCAAACGACTCCTAAACTATCACCAGAAGAATCTCGAGAGGTTATCAAACAAGGTTGCTCGAAATTCAAAGTTCACAAATTTCAGGACTCTAAATTTCTAAAAAATACATATACCCCCTTGGTATTTTTGTTCTCCTCTATGTTTCTTTCCTTTTTAGGGAAGAGAGAACAAGGAAAGCCAACCCCAAATGGTTGGGAGAAATGTTCAAGAAGGCGGATGTGACACATTTAGATATAAAGGCCGCTCTAAGGGAAGGGGGTTGGGTAGGGCTATATATATATTTTTTGTGTGTGTTTTGTGAATATCTGTGTGTATGTGTTAAGTGTGTGTATGTACATGCTTACATATGCGTGTGCATGAGGTCTTATATGAAATTATTAAAGATCATCCTCTTTTTTTTTTTTCTTTTTTTCTTTTGGATTTGTATTTGTGAGAGAGAAAAGTCTTGAACACTTGGAGGCCATTTTCTTCTTTTTCTTTTCTTACATGTAAAGAGGGAGCATATGGGTCCATTGTCCATGTGTATATTTGTGTGTGTATGTGTGTTTCAAAGAGAGAGACCGCATATCGAACATTTGGAATCCATCTTCTTCTTCTTCTTCTTCTCATATGTAAAGAGAGCACATAGCCCCAAGAGAGAGAAAAGGGCAAGTAGATTTGAAAATTTTCTTTTTTAAGGGATGGCACTAGGTGTCTGCCCAGACGCCTAGGCACCCCGTCTTGACCACCTAGGTGCGTGCCTTAGGCATGCCAGCCAAGACCCCACCGCCTAGGCCAGGCAGCTTAGGTAACAAGGCAGCCAAAATTTCGTTCATTGGTTGGGAAAAAGTTGAAAATAGGAATATATCCCATCTTCCATTAAGGGAGTGAGAGATGCCAAATAACTTTGGAATTTTTGAGTCCCCATTTCAAAGTTGTCTAAACTTAGGTATTCTACCAACTCTACGCGTACAAGCTGTCATCAACCACATCTACAAGCGTGATCGTTCATGCCCTCTCCGTGGGTTTCCTAATTGAACATAAGGACCCGCTTTTTATGGTCCCCCAACTCATACTATTGTCATGAGCTCCATTGAACACCCATTATTTGTATGGATCTTGGATCCAAATTTGTAGTGATCCATGATCTACACTTTGATGACCATGAATATAAAAAAAATAAAAATAAAAATATTTTTATTAGAATTTTTTCTATTCAATTAGATAGGAATCGTTAATTGTGGATGTTCATTTTAAAGATGGGCGTTTGCGATTGTGCGGGCCAGTGAGTCCGCTGACTAACTAAAACACTTTTTCTGAACAAATGAACCCAAATAGATTCGAATTCATTTATGCCACACAAAGCCACGATTTAATGAGAGCAAAATCAATAAAGTCTAGACTCTAGAATGTGAACCCTGATAATCAATAAATGATGATAACAAAACCAATAGAATATGCACCTTGAGGTGGGCTGTCATATCATATAGTAAGTCAAAGCCATTAGAGCCCACATGTTAACGTGGAGACCTTTATACCACTAATTATAAAGCCAAAAGGCCAAACCCTAAAGTCATGAGGGATTACCAAATTATTGTTTTCTGAAAAATAATAAGGAAAATGTTGACTACTTCGCTTGTAGTGTCGTAACTAGCATGGCAGCATTGGGTAGTGGGCCAATGGCATCAATTAACCGCTAAAATCAATTTACAAAAAAAAAAAGTAAAGAAAAGAGGATAACATGCTACCGACAATCACATGTTCTAAAGAATTGTATTATTAGAGATGTACTAAAATATACGTACCCAATAATAAAGAAACACAAAATTTTAGTTCAACCCTCATTGTTATAAAATGTCCATAACACCCCTACCCTGAATCTCTTGATTAAAGATGCCTGTTCGTTAGAGGGCCTTCAATTCAATTTTAGAATTTAGAGGCCTTCAATTCAATTTTAGAATTTGTCGATGCAGATCGGAATCGCCAATTCAGGTATTAAATATTAAGAATAAATTCCATTCCAGTAGACTGGGTCTAGTAACCGTGAGAGCCTATTAAGAATGGAGTGATCCAGAGATTCCAAAACATTCGTTTCTCATTCATTTTACTTCTTAATTTTTTTCAAAATTACTATGAGAATTAGTGATTGCCAGCCAATTTCTGGCTGGCAATACTGGTTTTGAAACACCATAGAACGTATTAAACGAGCTTCTAGAATATCTCTCACATAAAAGTGTAAAATACATTAAGATATAAAAAATAGTATATTTCAAGAGGGGAAAAAATCACTTGTGAACTTGCATCCATGAAACACCATAAATAAATAAAGCCAAGGCTCTAAACAATCAAATTAGAGCCCACCTCAAAAAATTTACTAAAATAGGTTGTTTTGTTTGGTCATCTCACCATCAAAATGTATGAACACGATAAAAAAAATGGATTTCAAGTTTTAGAAACAGTACACCTTGTAACGCATTCTTGGACCGTCAATTTTTCAAGTTTTGCTCGATCTACAATATATTTTAAGCTTTAAATCTTATAATTAAAGATGTAAATATATTTTAAAGCTACACAAAGATTTCCAGTATTGGAACCACATTTCTTATTTGAAGGTGCATTTTACATTGATTGTATAGAGCCTTGGCTCTATACAAACCGCACCCATATTATGCTATATCTTCCTAAACGCACAAAGAAAACGCTTTATTTTTCACAACCAAAGAAAGTGTAAATGTATATTTGGGGTTTTCATAAGGGAAATTCACATGAAGTTTTTGTTTATTTTTTAAATTTAAAAATAATCTCCTATATGTCATATTTTAGATTCAAGTCCCTTGTGTTGAGAGCCAAAAAAAAAAAAAAAGTACTTTAATTTTAGTTCTTTTTCTATACAATAGATTAAGTTGAGATATGGAAAGTTCATTTTCACCATCATTTTCCAATGGAAAATATTGAAAACCTTAAAATTAATAAACAACTAAAATATCCCTATAATATTGGGAGGCCGACTGTGTTTTTAATAACTGAAGTGTAAATACAGAGATAAAACGCTCTAATAATTTATTTTCCATAATCAAAGAAAATGTATGCAAATGCAGAAATAAACAATACAGAAGAAGCAATTTTGCAAATAAACAAAAACCAAATGGAGAAGAGATAGAGAGATAGAGAGAGGAAATTGTGAATGTTCACATTTCTTTTTAGAGATCAACACATATCTTCACAAACATATACAGCATTATTCGTATTTAAATATCAAAAAAAGCAAATGAAATAATGGTTCATCACCCATCACAACAAAATCCCTGATCTCCATTCACATTAAATTGTAAAAAAAAAAAAAACAAAAAAAAACAACCACAAGAACCCTGTTATGAAAATCCAAACAAACGAAAAGCAGGAATGGAAGAGAGAGAGAGAGAGAGAGAGAGAGAGAGAGAGAGAGAGAGAGAGAGAGAGAGAGAGAGAG